GTAGGGAAAATGAACAATAATAAGGCAAAATATTTGAGCTTCTAGAGACAATAAATGATGCCAAGACCAAGAGTCCCTGCAACCAACGCAAACCAATAGGCAAGGGACAGACTCACAACCTACATGCTTTCGGCAGTGCTAGTTTGGCCATTAGTGTAAAATTCAAAAATTGTTGCACCAACACCCCATAAGCATTAAGCACTGCTCAATTCTTACAATTGCAGATTTATGTGAAAGAGAGTTGCACATGTCTTTTACAGTGAGAGACATGTAGAATCGTTAGATTCATTGGTTTTTGAGTTAATGGATAAGGTTCTCTCTCTCTCTCTCTCTGGCTGAATTATATTCTTGATATTTTATCTTATTTTTAAAATTTATTTTAATTTTTATCTTTTAAAAAATTTCTTTGATCATTTATTTTTTCAACTTCAATTTAGTTCCTTTGAAATTTCTTTTTTTGATTCTTTTCAATTTTGGAACACACTTTTGCATATTTTTTTATAATTGATTTAAGAAGTCAAACTTGTTTTATTAAATTTATTTATATGAAAATTATTGAACCTAGTTAATATTCAAATAAAAGTATTCATAACACAGGATGAAATCCACATTAAAATGAGTCTAGCAATTAAAAATCAAAATCAATTTTTAATCATATTCTTTTAAAGTTGTTTGTGAGATTACTTTTTTATGTGATTTTTACTGTATTTATAGTCTTTTTTGGTTTAAACATAAATTCGATTTAAAAGATTTAATGTAATTAAATTTAATGAGATAAATTTCACATATTGAATTAGTTAAAAAAATATTCAAATTCACATTATCCAGTTGAAAATAATAATTGTTTTGAAAAGACCAAATGAACTCAAATTAAAAGAAAATACTAAAATGAATTTTTTTTAAAAATTAAAGAATAAAACAAATTTTAAAAATAAGATAAAAAACTAAGAGTGTGTTTGGAAGGAAAATTTAAATGGAGTAATTCATTTTTTTGAAAAATTTTAAATGTTTTGTGATGAAATGCTTTGTTTAGATGGATAGTTTACAAATAATTTGAAATTCAAGTATTTGTAAAATTCTTTAAAATAGTAGAATTTCAAATTCTTCCCAAAAATTAAGAATTTGAAATTCATCCTATTTTTTCTTTCTTATCTCACTTATATATATTTTATATATCTCTTATCTCTTAATTATTGAATATTCAAAATATTTTTTAAAATATTAAATATTATTTAATATTAATTTTTAAAATTATTAAATATTTAAAAAAATTGGTTAATATTTATTTTTATAAAATTAATCTTAAAATCTTTATATATATATATATATATATATTCAATTTATCCATGATGAAAGTCAAATTAATATATCCAAAACAAAAATTTAAAATTTTAAAAATTTGAATTAACTTATACAAATAAAATATTTAAAGAATAATAAAATTTGAAATTAAAATAATTCATGTTTCAAAAATTTCAAATTTGTTGAATTTATAAAATTTTCCATCCAAACACATTATAAAAGTATAATTTAGTATTTTCTTTCTTTTGAGATTTGTCCTTTATGGTATTCTTTTGCCCTCCCTCTTTCTCTTATGTGACTTTTCTCGTTCCTCTCTTGTGACTCTGTTGCAACCACTTGACTTCTCCCCTTCTTCTTTTGCGGCACCAAAATCAAATTTGCTGATTCATTAACACCTAACCGACACACAGAACAATGAAGGCAGACATAAAAATTTAGAAAACATTAATTCTTAATCATTGAAGATTGAAATGGGTGACAGTAATTCTTAAAGATTCATGACTATCTTTCATTATCTCATTTTTTTTTCTTTCTTTAAACAAGTTTCTGTACTTGTTAAGGTTAGGTGAGGATGAATCTTAATTTGAACATTTTGTAATTAATTTTACTTTTCTTACTTTCATCTTTTGCATGTGATTTTGAATCTTTAAATTTATGTTTAATGCTTCCCTCCGATTGATCTCTTAGGATTGATGGTAATTCAAATTTGCAATGGGGAAAATGAGATTTGAATGCATACATAATGTTGCAATTTTATAAATTTAATGTTTCTTCTTAATTAGAGGTGTAATCGGAATTGGAATGTTAATTTTACTCATATTTATGGAGACTAATATGGTAGTTAACTATATGACTTATTTAGTTCATTCTTATAATTTAAGTTGTCACATTTTGGATAATCTACCACTTGGTTGCTTACATATATTTTTAAGAGGTGTAATGAATTTTATCGTGACATGTAATAATTTAGTGTAATGTTTTCGTTTGGAACTCGCCCTCCTCAATATAAAAATAAATGTTTCTTCTTAATTACGCTTATTTAAGGAATTAGGTTTTGTCATATACTCTCTCATCCATGATTTAATATAATAAATTATGTTACACTCATACTCCTAAGAAATAAAAATATTATATTATCTTTTGTTAAAATATATAATTTAATTTATTTAACTTAATATTTTTAACGTAAATTACACATTCTCTAAAGAAATACAAATATTACAATATCTTTTTATATATATATTAAAATATAAAGTAAGTTATACTTTTATTCTTTTAAAAATAATAGTATTATATTATCATCTTTCTATTATGTTAAAATATAAGAATTCATCAAAACATCATTAAAAATACTCATTATAAAATTTTAAAAGATATTTTAATTTAAATATGTGTTATTTTTTTAATTCATCGTCGTTTATTCACTTGATAAAAATTATGAAATATATAATTAAATTTATAATAATTTATTAAAATGATTAAATAAATTAAAATTATAAAATAAATTATACATGTATAGATATATACGTCAATTAATATTATATATATAACTATTAAATTTTTTAATAATTATACTTTATTTAATAATATATTTTAAATATCAATATATTCATTTAAAAAATTATATGTTTAATATAAATATTTTAACATTATATTTATTAAGTATGATAGATTTATATGTTTATTAAAATTCTTTATTAATAATATCAATTAAATAACACCTTAATAAAAATATTATTTTATTTAAATATTTATAAAAATATCACATCAATTATATTGATTAAATACTATCTTAATACTTGCTTTTTATTTTAAAATCAACTATATTGATTTTATTATACTTATATACATATATTATTTTATTTTGATAACTTTTAAAAATATTTTGTAAAAATAATAATTAATAATATTTTAAAAATTTTAAAAAATTTAGAATAATTTTTAAAATAATAAT